CTTTCCCCTGAGAGAAATGGTATTTTTGTACCTCTCCCGTTCACTTGTCCAAAATTTAATTTCTGTTTTTAAAAATTTTGATGTTTACTAAGCAATAAAGGTTGAAGATAGGATTTTCAATTCTGTCTGCCTATGCAGAAAGTATGTGTGAGGTCACTGGGAGAGAGAGAGTTGTTTCCAGCTTCTCTTTTTCTTCTTTTTCCTTTTTAAATCTTTCTTTACAATTGCAAATTGCAGATTTGGTCTAGACTTGTATAGCATTGTATTTTGTCCAAGAAATTTCCCTTAATGTGTGCCAGGGAACGTGTAACTTGCATTTGCAATTAATGTTAGTTATATTTGTATTTTGGGAAAAATTCCAGTTCGTCATGAAATAGCATAGTGAGTAAAAGTGTCTTGACTAATCAATAGAAAGCAAAAGATCATAACTGCAGTTTTAAACAGCAAAAAAGAATCTCCCAAAGTGGAAGTTTGAACACGACAATACTTTTCTTCTAGACAATGCAAATTTCTCTGTAACAGAATTATCCAGTTCAAACCTGGATGCCTGGATGTGTAAATTGTACTTTTAAATAGTTAGATTTGTAACTGAACACTGCTAGCAGTGACCTTTACAGATTTCCAGTTCTAACAAACACTAAACCACAGAATCTCAAATGGTAAATACATTTTTCTCTTCTTGTCTCCCCAGGCACAGATCTCCAACTATGCAAGTATGAGGCATACCAGTATGCGGTACTATGCAGCTGATAAAAATGTTACCTGTAGAAATTGCAATAGACCAGGCCATTTGTCCAAGAACTGTCCTACTCCAAAGGTAAATGCAACAGTTTAATTACTTGTAGATGCAGCTGTTGTTTCTAATACTCTTTCGTGCTTGCCATTAAAAGCATTGCTTCAGTGGTTTGTTATTTCATCGAAAGGTTGCTCCAGATTGAGGGATAACTTGTACAAGATCAGTTTACTATGTAAAATCAGCTATCTTTTTTGTGGAGGTCATTGCATTTATTGTCTTTATAAAGGAAAAGATCTGTTAGTATAAACTGAGCAAAAAGAGAGTCAAGTACAATATAGAAACAATTTTTTCAAATTGTAAAACCAGTTTTAAGATGTAAAATGTTTTTCAAATGCATTTTCAATAAGGAGGACATAAGGAAGCCAAAGATCACCCTTAGTAAATGACTGAAAGCAGGTATCTATATAATGAACCATGATTTGAATAATGTTAAAAGTTACAGACAAGATGAAATTGGAAATAACTTTAAGCAGCTCAGATAGGTGACAAATATTCAGATAGTTTGTCCAGGGGTGAGAGGTTTAAAAGTCAGTCACTATACTGTGAGGAAGTAGGGGCAGTTGCATGAGAGTCTGCTTTTAGGAGCCCCCACAGCAAAGTCTGCAGAAACCTCAGTCCCTGAGGCTGTTACCCATGCTGAGACATTGAGTGACTACATCCCACCCAGATGAAACGTAAGCCCTTGGAGTGAAGATACACTCAGTCACTGGGAAAACTGGCTTTAAAGAGATACAGCTATGGTCCCATAATAGTTTTCAGTATTTTGTATTTGTCGGTCCATGTGCTTACTTGTGTGAGTCACAAGGCATGTAGCCAAGCGGTTAAGGTGGACTGACCCCGGCTGGCAGCTAAGCCTCCACCCAGCCACTCACTCACGCACCCCTTATGGGGTGGGGGAAAGAATTGGAAAGGCAAAAGCAAGCAAAACTCATGGGTCGAGATAAAGACAGTATAGTAAGTGAAGAAAAACCCCAGTGATGCAAAAGCACTCACTCACCACAGCAGCCTGATGCCCAGCCAGTCCCTGAGCAACAGCGACTGTGGAAAACCTCCGTCCCCCCAGTTCTGTTGCTGAGCACAATGCCGTATGGTACAGATAGGCTTTTGGTCAGTTGGGGTCAGCTGTCCGGCACTGTCCCCCACCAGCCTCTTGCCCACCCCTAGCCTGCTCGCTGGTGGTCAGGCTGGGAAAAAGAGAAAGCCTTAAGCAATAGCTAAATGTTGGTGTGTTATCTAAAACACAGCCCAATAAGGCTGCTATGAAGAAAATTAATCCCATCCCAGCCAGACTTAGTGCAGTGGTCTATTGCACAGACCATACTTACAAACCAGTCCAATATGTTGTGTTACATACTGTACATCATGTTTCTGTGATACAGTTCTGTTTTTCAGTTTTTAAGAAATTTAATAAAAAAGTCAATGTTCATACCGAGTGCCCAACACTTCTGCTCTGAGTGAAATGTGCTTTCCAGTTTAATGATTATTTTTGTTGTATTCACGGAGCAACTAACATGGGCACTAGGCATTTAACAAATGCTTCTGATGCAAGGTCCAAATCAAGAAAGTACAAATCAAGAAAGTACAGGGAGTCTGTGGAGTTACAACTTCAAGTTTTACTCTATTCATAGCATTCCTTCACTTCAATTCCTGATGAAACATCTCTGCAACTCCGAGTAAGCAGTAGACATTTATTTGGGTTAGTTTCTTCTTCATTTCCTCTTTTGATTTTTTTTCTTTTCTTTAATCTTTTGAAACGTTCTCATTTAACATAATTCTTTTTTTATTTCTCCATAGAAAGTTCCCCCTTGTTGCCTGTGTGCAGAAAGAGGTCATCTACAAAACAGTTGCCCAGCACGTTTTTGTCTGAACTGCTGTTTGCCTGGCCACTATTTCAGGGAATGTCTTGAGAGAGCCTATTGGAATAAACACTGCAATCGCTGTGATATGAAGGGGCATTATGCTGATGTGAGTATAGCCCATGGCAAAGAACTCATTCATTATTGGCTTTGTCAAAAATTGAATTTACAACAACCACACTCTTTTCATATTTTCTTTAATTTTATGTAGTGCTTATTTGTGTAAGCATATGAAAATATTGTAGTTAGTTGTTACCTAACAGTATCACAGTTTTCATGAAGAATGGTTCAAAGAAAACAAACCGGAGTGTTGTAAACAGTCTTTAGTTTAGTTTTGTCTAGCTTAGTTAGGGTGGTGAAAAATGTCCTAATTTCTATTGAATGGAAGGTGTAGGGAGGTTGAAATTAGGAGACATGGTATGCTACAAGCATGCCAGCAAGAGGTAAAGAATACCTTTCATGCTCTAAGAGTTCCAGATCCATGGTTTTTTCACTGTGATCACATACTCATCAATGAAAATATTACAGAAGTTTAAACTAATGTCTAAATGGGTTTGGGAGGCACTTAGAATGGTGTTGTATTTTACATTGAAAATGTACTTTCTGAACAAAATGGAAATGGTGCACTTTGTTTCTTATGCAAGTATAGATGAATAGAAGTTTAATCTGATATTAGCTTATAAGGAAGGAGGTCTACAACTGTATTCACATGCCTTAGCTTAGTTTCTGCCTGCTTTTCAGTAGAGTCCTCTACTGAAAATGCAAGAAGAAAGATAATGATGAAATTAATTGTCTCTCTACTTGCATATCACTGTGGACAGGCCCATCACATATATACTATAAAAGAATTTGTAAAGTAGTGGAACAGTTGCAAAATTGTGTACTCTACTATTGAGAGGAAAATTATTGATAGAAACATTTAACGTCTGGGACTTACTGATGTTTTGTCTTAATCCCACAAGAACCACACTGATGTTATCCATCTTCACTACTGTCATTCAAAACCCAACTTTTTCTACTGAGACCAGCGTAGCTCATACAGTTTGTGTGGACACTCTGGTCCTGTTGCCAGTCACTCTAATTCTTTGTTCATGTTATGTTGTGCTGCCTCTATGTCACAAGCACCAGAGAGGAAAAAAATACTTACTGCAAATAATAATTTCCGTACTGTACCTAACAAAACAACATTTCAGAGGTGTTAGCAAGCTTGCATCTGTATTCATAGTACAAATGGTTCTGTCAAGTGGGAATATGGAAGTGCTCCTTTCGTCTTGCTAAAAGATCGGATGTTCGGTTTATTTCCCACCAGATGCTTGGCTGCTTGTTTCAGGTTGAGCAGCAAAACAGGAGAAGGGTTTCCATTTATTTTACAGGGAGGTGGAGGCCCCATAGGATACATGCATTCTGTTATTAGTGTTTACTGAGCATTCAGAGTTGTCTTGGATAAATGTATAAGTAACTTTGGTATGAAAACAGGTATGGAAATACTAAAAATGTTCGAGTACTGTAAGGATGCTGAAGTATGTTAAAGGTCATCCAGATACAGTGTACTCTCTGCACTGAAGACTAGATGGCAGGTAAGGTCATGGGCCTTCATTTGGCTGAGACTTTTGTCGCAAAACTTTTATCATTTAAACAGTACCATTATGTAAACACGCTCTTTAGTGTATGATCTCCTTTCTTAAAAATATTTCTTCAGTTCTTCTGAATGCATTTTGAAAGAAGTAGAAACTGTTTTGCTCTTGACAGTCTGCCCAAAGCTGTTATTACTGCTAGTGAAAGTTAGTAGATACAAGAAAGACAGAGAGAGGCTTTTTACCAGGGCCTTTAGTGACAGGGCAAGGGGCAATGGTTTTAAACTAACAGAGGGTAGATTTTAGGTTAGATATAAATAAATGTTTTACAGTGAGGATGGTGAAACACTGTGACAGTTACCCAGAGAAGTTGTGGATGCCCCATCACTGGAAGTGTTCAAGGACAGGTTTGACAGGGCTCTGAACGACCTGATCTAGTGAAAGATGTCTCTGTCCGTGGCAGGGGCATTGGAAGTAAATGATCTTTAGAAGTCCTTTCCAATCCAAGCCATTCTGTGATTTTATGATACCGCACAGTTGGTTAGCTCAGTTCTGTACTAACTGCCAGGAATCCTGGATGTGAGGAATGTAATGTCATGCACCACCACTGCATGCTCTGCAAGAAATCTAGAGATTTTGAACAGGAGCATTTAAAGTTATTACAATCATGTAGCCTAAGTAAAAGCTTATATCAGTATTTCAAAATAAATATGTACCTATTAACAGATGTTTTTCTGTAAAAGCTCAGAGAATTCACAAACCAGCAACTTCTGTTTTATCTTCTAAGTGTGGTGCACCTCAAACCTCGACACCACTGGTTTTTAATTTTTTGCTTCCTGGATGAATAATTTGATGTCAAGTTTCAGGGCAGGATGAACTATTTTGGCAAGAATGTTCCACCTCTGAAGGAGACTCTTGCACAAAAGCATTCTTTAATATTCTTAAGAAAGTGTTGAATGCTATAGCAATTGGAAGTTTGGTTAAAAGAATAAAAGTGAAGGCAAAACAAGCAAAATTTTCAAGGTTAATAACTATATTCAACATTAAAGATCTGTGGGATTATGACCAAGCAGAAGTATACTGCAATGATGTTATTGCTTTATGAGATTGATACTAGAAAACTGCACTTGGAAAGGTCTTGTATTTATGTGCTTTTGTGTCTGTGTACAAAGCCCTTCCCAGATAGGGAGTGTTTAAATGTATGTACTTCTCATATAGATACATAGATAGTGCTGAATTGAATTTTACAAATATAATCTAGATGACAGCAATGACTTTGCAGTAGGTCACTTAATTCAGTTTAGTAGGAGGTTTAGGTATGACTGTAACATGAAGATTTGTCCTCCTATTTCATAAATACAGGTAGAGGACTTGCTTAACTTCCCTATGGCTTTTCGGTAGCAGCAGTGCTTATGCTGTAAGGACCGAAGAGAAAGATAGAAGTAGTTTGAAGGCCTTCGAGTTTGATATGATCTACTAAAATAAAACACAGATGAAAATTAAAGTGTGATTAAACGTAATTTTATCTTTTTTAACCTTGTATGATATTATTACAGTTTTCCATGTCCCAGAAATTCAGTCCTGTACATAGCAGTTAACCTTTTATGCTTTTTTCCCTCAATTTAAAAGCAACTTAAACACAAAAAGGTGAGGATAAAAGGCAAGCTGTGATAACATCAGCACAAATTCCTACTTCATTTTCTATCTAAAGATGTGGCTTAAATGTTTGCTCTCCAAATACACCTGTTCTACTCCCCTAAACATTAGGGTTTTTTGACATTCAGAAATATTTGAATCTCCTCTAAATGTCTCCTCCCTACCTTTATTTCTTCTATTTGGTCAAAGAATGAGAAAGATCCTGAGAAGGCCTTGTCTTCCCTTTCAATGAATACAGAAGTTTATCTGAGTAACTCTTCTACCTGGTAAAGCTTATGTTCCGTAACCTCTGTCATATTCAATCCCTGTATTGCAGAATCATGGAATAATTGTGTTTCAGTGGGAGGTTTGACCCTGCAGCTTAGCAGTCAGACACGAGAAACTTCCCTTCATGTGCTTTCTGAGTGTCATTTCCAGGCGAGGGGAGAGGCACTGTGCATTGGACTATTTGTGTGT